ACTGACTGGCCCTTTTTATTAGCATTAAAGAAGAAAATATCACCAGTTGTACCATCATCACCAGCATCACCACTCTCAAACAAAAATACTTTTTGTTTGCTGCAGATGATAAGGACTAATTAGCTTGTACAGTGCGCCCCCTCTTTGCTGATGCTCAATGCTTTTTTTCTGGCAATCAAGTGGCAGCTGACATTTTACTTCGATGCAATTAAAACTGGTTAAACTGGTATGCAGTTCAAGTCAGTGCTCAATTAGCAGAAATATCAGCGACCTTCAGATAGTAATTATACTAAAATGGCAATCATGTGACAAATTAACTATAAAAGAAGATGTTTTTTGCTTTACATTAGACCAGGCATAGGCACTTTTTTTATCAGTGTGGGTAAAGTACGACCACTTTCAGTTGTACTGGTGGGAAAACCAGTTATCATTTATCACACAGTTAAAGTACAAACTACCATTTAGCATTCACGTACTGTTTTTTAATCTTGATAACGATAATTCTTTAACTTAAAAGCACAATTCTTTAACTTTGAAAAAAATGGGCGCCCTATCATTGAAGCTCGCACAGTGTGAAAATAGTGCCGCTATTTTCACACTGTGCGACCAACTTTTTTCGTTTCACTAACACCAGCCACAACAACAACGATTATCGGGTGAAAAGAAGCCTCCATCACAACAAGAACAATTATCACCATCACCCCCATCACCCCCGCCATTATCATCATCATCATCATCACCCCCCGGATACGGTCGCACCCTCTTCGGCCGCTTCACATTATCGGGAAAGTCCTCCGGGCGGATGTCCTCATCGTAGACGGCCGCCACGTAGAAGAGCCCGTCCTTGAGCTGACAGCTGACGCCCACTCGGGTCGCCTGGCGCCAGATGACCTGAATGAAGGAGCCAAATCGGTCCAGGACGCTGTCAGGAGGCACCCGGCCGTACCAGTGGTACCGGCCCCTCGCCCCCGGGGCGTACCACTTTCGAACTACCGAGTCTCCGCTTGGCTGCTTCCGAGAACCTCCTCGAACTGGCATGACCATCTTGGTGACGCCCGCCGCGGCGTNCCGTACCAGTGGTACCGGCCCCTCGCCCCCGGGGCGTACCACTTTCGAACTACCGAGTCTCCGCTTGGCTGCTTCCGAGAACCTCCTCGAACTGGCATGACCATCTTGGTGACGCCCGCCGCGGCGTCCACGTACGACTCTCGACTGTCTTCGTCGTCTGCAGATAAAGTGGATAAGGTAAGTTAGACATTTTTTCTTTCTCTTTTTCGTTGATAAGACTGCTTGATAAGATTGTAGCTTATGTTATTTACCATCATGAGCGCGGATAATGGCGTTCAGGGCGGTCTCAGACCGCGCCTGGAAGTCGTCGTAGTCAGGCTCCAGCGGTGGGACGCCATGGCGCCGGCGAAGCTCGGTGTGAGTGTGCAGAAAGTCGAGCTTAAATTGGACGCCGCATTCCTGCTGTTCAGAGAGGCTGAAAAAGTTGAGGAGAACTAGAAGTAAAAAAAGTGGAGCTAGGAAAAATGGGTTCATAGTTTTGTTTGTTTGTTTTTTGCTGAACAGTTGAAAAGTTATTGATAAGGTTTTTTCTCTTTTCTAAATCGGACACTTTTTATTTTGTGCAGTTGAGTTAGCTTTTTGTTTGCTGTTAGTATTTTATTGACATTGAGTGGCAATTTACTTTACTTTACTTTACTTTAGGTGAGTGGTTTGAGATTGAATTAGCTTTGCGTAACATTGGCAGATTTAAATTGTATTTAACATTGCTTTTTTATTTGTTTATGCAGATCAGATCTTTTTATTTTTATTTAACTATTGTTGATCTTGCTGGAGTTGGTCTGTCTCTCGCTCCAAGATCATGTTCCTGTTCCAGTTGACCTTCACCATTTTGTCGCCAAAGTCCTCGCCGCCATTGACGTTGATTACTTTAGTTTTTGGTTTTGGTGGTGGTGATGGTGATGGAGGTAAAACTTTGTTTGGCGGAGCTGTTCTTGGAAGTTTTGTTGTTGTAGTAGTTGTAGTAGTTGTAGTAAAATGTGTAGTCATTTTTCTCGGCTTTTTTGTTCTGGTTTCGAAAGCTTTTGGATACTTTGTTGAGGTGATCAGCAGTTTAGGTGGTGGTGGTGTTGGTGTTAAAATTGGCGGAGAGGGTGTTTTGTAATTGTAGGAATTTGGCTGATATTTTGGCGGATAGTTTGACGGATAATTTGGCAAATAATTTGGCTGATACTTGGGCTGATATTTTGGTTGATAGTTTTGCGGATATTTTGGTTGATAGTTTTGCGGATATTTTGGCTGATAATTCGGGTAATAGTTCGGCTGATAATTTGGAACGTTTCTTGGAACATAAGTTTGCCAGTAATTTGATTTAGGCGGCGGCTCAAAAGGCGATGGAAAGGTGGGAAATTCAATCAAACTATCATCTGGGTAGTAGTCGTCATCATCTGTTGAATCAGGTCCGAGACAGTTAATCGTAGGACACATGAATAGTTTCTGAGGTAAAAGAAGAGATAAAAAAGTTATAAAGACAAAAGTATTTTAAAAGTTCATTACTTGACTAACTACCACATCTTGAAAGATCGGCAGAGCTTTTGTGATTATCCCAGCCGGTAACAGAAGTAAAATCAAAACGTTTTTCATTTTCAAAAGTTTAGCAGTGAGAAAAAATCAGCAACAGAGTTTTGACTGACATTTATCTATCGATAATAAAAAAAATTACTGCTGCCATCAAAATGAGCATTCCATTTAACTTCATCAAAAAGTGTCCTTGTTTTTTCATTTCGTTGTGTGACGGAAAGATATTTGCGTAAGGGGAAAAACGAAAGTCAATGGCAGCAATTGATGATAGCTAAAAATGTTTAATTTTTTCATTTTAGTAGAAGATGTATAAAAGATGACCAAATCTAATCAGCGATTTTATTTTTATTTACTAAACTTTTTATTAATTCAAATCTAAAGGCTCAAAACTTTTTTTATTTATCGAATGGGAACCATCCTCCGACGAGTGCCGTCGCCGGGTACGGTAAACATCTGCGGTCCAACCGGCTCTCCGGTGATGGCGCCATTCTCCGGGTCTTTGCTGTTGCGATTCTCATTGATCGGGTCCCGGGTGGGCTGCGGATTGACCGGGTCCTTTGACGATTCGCCGGGGTTCACCTGGTCGGGGACGGTCACTGGATTGACGGTGCTGGTTTCCGGAGGCGTGGCCGGTGTGTCGGGAGTTCGTATTTCAGGGGTTGCTGGTTGGGAAACGGAAGTTGTGGTTTCGACTGTGGAAGGCGTTTCCGGAGGTCGAGGTTCAGGGGTGGCTGGCTGGGAGACGGAAGTGGTTGTTTCAATAGTTGAAGGAGTTTCTGGAGGTCGAGGTTCAGGGGTGGCTGGCTGGGAGACGGAAGTGGTTGTTTCAATAGTTGAAGGAGTTTCTGGAGGTCGAGGTTCAGGGGTGGCTGGCTGGGAGACGGAAGTGGTTGTTTCAATAGTTGAAGGAGTTTCTGGAGGTCGAGGTTCAGGGGTGGCTGGCTGGGAGACGGAAGTGGTTGTCTCTTGAGTTGAAGGGGTTTCCGGTGGTCGAGGTTCGGGAGTGGCTGGTGATGGTGAGGAGGTGGTTGAAGTGGGAGGCTCTGCTGTTGGTCCTGATGGAGGTCGAGGTTCAGGGGTTGCTGGTGAGGGTGAAGAGGTGGTTGAGCTGGGAGGTTCGGCGGTCGGTCCTGGTGGGGGTCGAGGTTCAGGGGTGGCTGGAGATGGAGATGATGTGGTACTGCTAGCAGGTTCAGCAGTGGGTCCTGGTGGCGGTCGAGGTTCGGGGGTAGCTGGAGATGGTGAGGAGGTTGTTGACGAGGCAGGTTCGGCGGTGGGTCCTGGTGGTGGTCGAGGTTCGGGGGTGGCTGGAGATGGGGATGATG